ATATCAAATAATTAGATTCCGTTATAACATTTTATACATATTTAAAAATATATAATATGCTTATTATATCTAATACACTATTTTTACTTTTAAAAAATAACCGTTTAAAAATCTGTAATCACTTAATAAAAATATCCAAAAAAACTATTTATTTCAAATTATAATTTAAAAGATGTTAAAAACTGTGAACTCACCAGATGATAATTAAAAAATGGTAGTAATTTAATGAACCAACTGTGGCAAATTAAGTGATTTTTATTTAATATTCACGACGTTTCGGCCATGGGTTTCGGATATAGTTAATTGTTTCACATCATATCTTGTCACATTCTAAAATCAAAAATTAAGGTTTTTTAAAAAAAGTTATGTTTTAGCACTTGATAAGGGCCTAAACCCATGGCCGAAACGTCGTGAATATTAAATAAAGATCACTTAATTTGCCAGAGTTGGTTGATTAAATTACTATCATTTTATAATTTAAATCTATTATCTTTATACTCTAACTTACAATGTCCTAAATATAATTGTTTTATTATTAAATATTATTTTCAAATATATAGTAGTTTTTGCACGTACCAACACAATATGTAAGAAAATTCGGTTAATACAGAATTTTCATATTATATATTCTCTATCTTTATCTTTAAACCAATATATGTAAAATCAAAAAGAAATAATTTTATAATGATAAATGAAAGGTTAAAAATAAGTAGTGATAATATAGAATATTTTCCAACTTACCTGAATGTGCACCACATATCGAAGTTCATTATATTTAACCAAAAGAAACTCGCCATATTGCAAAAGTATTTTTAAAAAGCTGTAAAAATGAATAAAATAAAGATTGTAATAATAATTAATAAATAACAATATACAATATTATTAATATAAATATAAATGTAATATGTAATTTGCTCTTATAGTTGAGAAATGAATAAGAAGCAAGAAATAGGCCAAAAGAGCAACGCAAAGTATAATTTGGTCGCAAATACAACTTTATTTAATAAAAAAATCATTTTTTATTAAATAAAGGAACTTTGTATTTGCGACCTAATTACTTCGCGTTGCTCTTTTGATCTATTTCATGCTCCTTATTTATTTCTATATTATTAATAAATAATAATATATTATATAATAAATATATATAAAAAACACTATTAATAGATAATAATATATTATTATTATTCATTATTACGCGTTAAAATTGCAGGATCTAAAAGTTATCACATTTATGTTTCTTCATTAAAATAGATTTACTTTAACTTTCTACACTAAATTTTATAGTAATATTTAATGAATATTGCTAATAAAAAAATTAAACAATATTTGATTCGGTATGTTATTCTACAAAATTCAGAACACAAAGAAATATAACTATTTGTGTGAGACGAACTTATATTAATTATATATTAAAATGCATTTAAATAAAATTTAAATGTCATTTACTGTGTTGCATTTTTTAGATTTTAACAAATAATATATTTAAGTAATATTTAAAATTATTAATTAATATTTAATGTGCAAATTTAATATGCAAATTTAATACCTATGCAATATTTAATATATATACATTAAATATCTGACAAATATATATAACTTATACTTATTACATAGTTTTATGATTTAGATATATACTCTACCTATTGTAACGCAGACGGGATACTGTATATCCGATTTGATAAAAAAATACACCAGGTCAATTCCGTATGCACCAAACACGGCACCGCTATAATTGCGCAACATAAAGCCGTGTTTATTTCGGAGTTCTGGCAATATGGAATACACCAAAATAACTGACCCCAAAAGTAATATAGATACTATATCGGCATTTATGTGCATAATTTCTTCGTCAGAATTCAAAGGCTTACTCGTATTATCAATTATCTCCATGATCTTGTGATAAGTTTTGGAACAGAAGATCACTTGGAATTCAATCCCATTGACGACGGCGAGACAATATGATGACGATTCAACAAATATTTCATAATAAGGTAAATATATAGAACCGTTGGTAAAAATCTTATAATCGTACTGAAAACCTTCGAGAAGCAGAATTCCCGAGAAGTGATTATCCTGGCACGAATCATAAATGGCCAGATCAAACAATTCGTTTATTCTCTTTTCGCTCTGCGTCGAATCGTTCGTGTATACTTTTGGAAAAATGTATTCAATTTCATCAGGAATGCACTCATCAATAGACGATCACCAAGAGAACAGCAGAGCCGAATGCAAGTATCATTATAACACATTTCGTTAGGGACGATGTTAGTTCTGTTAACATCTTTGCTAAAATTTTTGAGAACTTCAAGTGACATGGAATCATTCTTTTCAATTACATTTTCATAAACTTCCTGAGCCGTGAAATTCCTTTTATGATTGACATATGTCGAATTTGTGTTAGATTTCATCGATTTTTGCTCATCATCTTTATTCTGCATAGAATGCTTGTAACGTTTATGTTGAATCAAATCATTATCCTCGCGTTTATTATTCATATGAAATTCATGCTGCATTTTGTCATTTTGTGTATTGATCATCAAATTTTTATGCAAATCATGTCGGAATGTTATTATCTCGTATCGCATCGTCAAATTATCATCTCTGTTGGTAAAACTTTGCTGCGATTTCGATAACAAAATAACGAAGAGAAGCACGGTACACACAAATGCAAACTTTTTTCCACTCATTATTTCACATAAGAATATAGTTATGAATAATTAGATAATCAAATTTATCTTCATATAATTTCTCATGTAAGTTTTTAGTTTGCAATAATTAAAACATATCACATTAAATTAATGCACACCTTTGCTTTTCTATTAATTGCAATAAAATGTGTCAAATGCAAAATATAATAAAATAAAATTATCTTATTTTGTTTTTCAGCAAAATCTCAAAATGTCGATTTGATTTTAGCACCATTACTGTATTCGACTTTTTCTCGTTAGAAGAATGCACAAGATACATGTTTCTGCGCGGGAGAGAAGCTGAGACTACCGAGTACGACGATTTGTCGATAGCTTTGCAAGAAGCTGTCCGTCTACTATACCACTGACGAGGTACTGTTACGTCAGTGCTGGTATCATGGTTAAGGTACGTTTCAGGTAACTCTATTAATGCTACGCATTTTAAATATGTCTGAAACAGTATGTAATTTTATGTTATATCATTCTTACAAATACAGTGCCGTATCTGTTGTATTTTCACGGGATCAGAACTGTCTGTCTAATTATTACCATTTGCTTATCCATCTCTGCGGCACTGAACATTAAACGCAACGAAAAGGATACAAACCTGCGTCTATCAGATTTGTAAACCAAGCGATATAATGACAATAAGGAATGGTGAGTATTCTGACATTTTTGTAACACTTTCTTCTGTTATTTGAATGATATTTAAATTTTCTTCTGAAAATCTTTGTTATTTGAATGATATTTATGCTGACATATTTATATCCATGTCTCTGCCGACAATATCCCATACTCGCTTGATTCGCATTCTAGATGAAGAAAGCAAGCATTTTCACTGTGCTTATTGTTTTTTTTATTTTGTTATGTATAATTATATAATCTATAAGAAAAGAAAGCATGTATTGCGTTAACTTGAATCGTGTTTTTTCAAATAAGTTTGTAATTCTCGAAATGTCGCAATAAACAGTGAAAATTAAGTTAACGAATAGGCATTTATTTTATAAAAAAAATTATATTTTTTAAGAATTTATTTAAACTACTGTTTCTCGTTTTCCTTTTTTAAAGATTGTAATTAATTCCTTTATTTTTCAATTTTATAATTTGGTATATAATAATTTATTATTTTTATTGAAAATTTTTATTTTTTTAATTTAATTACAAAAAATTGAATAAAATCATTATATGAAAGCAGATCGTCGTGGATTATGTTTTCGAGTATATACCAAAAAACGTAAGATCATATTTCGAAGTTGGTGCGTATTGCTGGTATCACTGACGAGGTATAGTACCTCGTAAGTAACTATACTATATAAGACTATACACATATAGCTTTTACATACTATATACAAAAAAAATAAAAAAAAATCATTGAAACTACTACTGACGATAGCTCGACTAATCCAGCAGCAAAAGGAAAAATACTCTTGATTGTTTTTTAAATATTGAATGCTCAAATGAAGAGTCTTCATATTTCTAAGAATACCGCAAATAAGAAATAAATTGATACGTAGCAAAAGTCAAATAATAAAAATTTTGTTATTAATTATTTTTGAAATGTATATTAAATTGGAATTAATTTATTTGTTTAAATACTTGTATATTAAAATTTGTTTTAAATAATTAATCGATAACGCATGCGTTAGCAAAATTATATTTATTTCACAAATTTATTAATCTCATTTGTTATCTTTAGACTACAAAATAATTATTACAAAAAAATATTATGTTGAATATATGTTTATCGTTATTCGCTAACTCTTATATATCATCAAATTAGAGATAATGCTTGCACATATAAAGTAAAGACAAAACCTATTCTGAAACCGGTTTATATTCGACCTGCATGACTTTGAGAGTTATATCATGATTATTTATTTGATTAAAAATTAAGAATAGCGGTAGATCAGGAGGCGCTGATGCTATTTAATTTTTCACTCTTAACTTTTACAGAGGAAAAAATATTTCACAAAAATTACATTGATTTCTTCAAAATCAATAATTGAAACTAATAATTACTAAAATGTAAATTATATTAAAAAAAATAGTAAGCTATACCGAATTATTGAGATCATAAAAAATCTAAAGTTTCAATTATTTAAGTATTAATGTTACAATAATCTCACGATAAAATATTTAATTAAATTATAAAAATTATAATAATATTATAAATTTTTATTACAATTTATGATATTAATAAATGAACATTTTTATTTGATATATGGATAATAACAACTTATAGTAATTTCATGCAAATTTTGTAGTAGTTTTCTGAATTTCTACTAATATTCAAAATATAAAATAATATCAGCCTACAATTAACAATATTATAAATATTTATGTCAAGGAATATATCATAATCTCACTTAAATTTAAAAAACAAACAAGACAAAATAATATGTTCTTGCTACAAAATCCGAAAATATGTATGAATTATAATTATTAATTTTAACTATAAAGAACAACATAAAAAAACATGATTTCCATTTTCAAATAAAAATTAAAAGTCGATCCTATCAGTGTGATTTCTTGCTCGTCCGAAAAAAACTCATTTTCTCCTGCATGACTATTTCTTTTGACAGTGTAAGAATGCTCGACAATGTTGCATTCGATCTGTGTCAAGCATTTGGCGACAAACCGAAGCCGAATCGCTTGAATAACATGCGCTTGATCCTTTTTTTACACACAAATACGATAAAGACGCACAGACTCTGCATAATGTCCAGCGAATTAACAACATACAATACAATGTAGTAAATGGTGTACAATGTAGTAGTTGGTACAGTTTTAAATATTTCATAAGCTGCTATCACGAGCAATTCTATGCCCATTAAGATAAACAGCACGATAAATAGCTGCAGATATAGATTAAACCTGCAAACAAATATATAATTTTCATAGTTCTTGTGAATATATATGATGAATAAAATTTAATTGATTTATAAATCTTAAGAAATTTTTGAAAGTGTTTAAAATTTGTATTTTTGTAAAATACAGGTGCAATCATTAACTTAATTTTCATTTATTATTCGTTATTAATTGTCATTTTGTTTAGAATTGCATAGATTTTCGAAGAAACACGTAAAATGATATATTCTTGAAAATATTACAAAATAAAAAAAGTAAATCGGCGAATAGAAAAAATGTCATCTGCAAACGAAAATCTATAACCAGTGATCATAATCTGATTTTATATTAAATATTGTTTTAAATCTGATTTTGACATAAAATTCTATTCAACCAATGAAGCTCGGATTTTAAATTAAATATACGATCAGACGATTAGTTATTAATACCGGTTAATTTCTCGCTGTTATAAAAAAAAAAATGCGAATCAATTATGCGATGCTGTTTGCATAAATGTTAATATAAGTAGCATAAATTTTATTAATAAAATAGATTATCATATCTCAATACAACAATATCTGAATACATACCATTTTTTATTATCGTTAAAGCATTTATTCTCCGAATCTTTCAGAAAAGAACCCGATTCCTTTTTTAAACGTTCAATTTTTAATGCCGTATAGATAGATAAACAAATGCTACTGGTGACGCACATACTATTGAGCCCATAATAATACAACATATACGGACCAGTCTCTGTAAGTATAAAACATCATGAGTTTGGTTCTCACCATACTAAAATGCTATAGCATTATCTTCACTTACTAAAAAAAAAACATTCTCCTTCATAAAAGTCCGGTCGCAAAATTGGTGGTACATGCTGGTACTTAGAAAGAATATCCATGCTGACACATAAAATAGCAAGCATAAAGGGACATCCCCACGCAAAGATCGTATAATATATCAACTTTTTTTTTTCTTGTTGTCTGACGTTTTTTTGTAACGAACAGAATCCTCTGCAATTTACACAACATATTTAACAAACAACACATAAAAGAAATCAGAATGTAAAAACGTTAAAATAATGTGTCTTTGATGAAGTCACTATATCATACTATAGAGCAAAGTTTCAGCTTGAAGAATCCATTTTTAAATTGCTGTAGAATGATTTTTAACGATGTTATGAACGATTATAGTGAAAATGACATTTTCTCTTTAATTTACGATAATATTTGATAAAATAAGATGAGGATTTACGTTTTAAAAAACAATTTTGCACGTAAAACTTCAGAAAGTAACATGGAAATGTCATGAAATTTTTCAAATTTTTTTGTGCATGCAACACGTCTACAAAGTGAGAAGAAATTTTCCATTTTGTTATGTTTTTCGTTTCTTGTATATAAAAAATGTATATAAAAAATATCAGATTTTAAGAAAATAAAAAAAGATGTAAACTACTGACAGTAGAGATTTAACGTTTTAAAACTCTTTTTTAAAGTTCAAATTCTTATTATTCGAAACAAAGTTATATCTATTTAAAGTTTGCCTATTCTTGGACAATTGTCTTTTATTATATTTTTTTATGCCTTAATTATTGTAAAAGTGTTTATTTACATAGCTATTATGCAGACACGACAATTGTATTAAAATTTTTATTTACTTTTAAAAGACAAATTTTTAATTAAAAAATCTACTTTTATTTTGTGAAAACATATCGTGTATTGCTTTATTTTATAAATTAATATAAATTAAAAGAAAAAGAAGTTTAATATCAAAATATTATTGCATTATATCGAATTATTAGATTTTGTTATAATGTTTTATATATATTTAAATAAAATATATAATATGCTTATTATGTCTAATACGCAATTTTTACTTTTAAAAAATTAACCATTCGAAAATGTGTAATCAATTAATAAAAATATCCAAAACTATTTATTCCAAATTATAATTTGAACTTATTATCTTTATACGCTAACTTATAATGCCCTAAATATAATTGTTTTATTATCAAATATTATTTTTAAATATATAGTTGTTTTTACACGTACTAACACAATATGTAAGAAAATTCGATTAATACAGAATTTTCATATTATATATTATCTATCTTTATTTTTAAACCGATATATGTAAAATCAAAAAGAAAGAATTTTATAAAAATAAATGAAAGGCAAGTGTTAAAAATAAGTAGTAATAATATAGAAGAATATTTTCCAACTTACCTGAATGTGCACCACATATCAAAGCTCATTATAATTAACCAAAAGTAACTCGCCATATAGGCAAAGTATTGTATAAAGGCTACAAAAATGAATAAAATTAAAGATTGTAAAAATAAATAATAATATATAATATTATTAATATAAATATAAATGTAATATGTAATTTGCTTTTATAGTTAAGAAATAAATAAGGAGCAGGAGACAGATCAAAACAGCTACGCAAAGTATAATTTGATCGCAAATACAGCTTTATTTAGTAAACAAATTTTTTCTATTAAATAAAGAAACTTTATATATGCGACCTAATTACTTTGCGTTGCTCTTTTGGTTTATTTCCTGCTCCTTATATATTTTTATATTATGAATAAATAATAATATATTATATAAAATATTATAATAAACTATTATATAATAAAATATATGTGTGTGTATATTAAATATTATTATTAATAAATAATAATATATTATTTATCATTACTCGTTAAAATTGAAGGATTTCAAAGTTATCACATTTTTATGTTTCTCCATTAAAACAGATTTACTTTAACTTCTTACACTAAATTTTATTGTAATATTTACGTAATAAATACTGCTAATATTAAGTTAAACATGTTTGATTCAATATGTAATTCTGCAAAATTCAAAAACCCAAAGAAATATATCTATTTGAGACGAATAACTTATATTAATGATATATTAAAATGCATTTAAATAAAATTTAAATGTCATTCACTGTTTTGCTTTTAATAGATTTTAACAAATAATATATTCAAATAATTATTAAAATTATTAATTAGAATTTAAAATGCAAATATACATTAAACATCTGACAAATATAAATATATTGATTGCATAGTTTTAAGATTTAGATATATACTCTACCTATTGTAACGCAGACGGAATACTGTATATCATCCGATTTGATCAAAAATTTCACAAAGCGAATTCCGTATGCAATAGTCAAGGCACCATTGTAATTGCGCAACATGAAGCCGTGTCTATTTCGGAGTTCCGGCAATATGGAATACACGAAAAATGCTGACCCCAAAAGTAATATAGATGCTATATCAACACTCATTTCCATAATATCTTTGTTTGTAATAGTATTCATGATCTCATTAGTTTTATCTTTAGTTGTTATCTTCATGATCTTGTCATAAGTTTTGGAACAGACGGTTACTTCGAACTCATTCCCGTCGACGACGGCGAGACAATATGATGTCGATTCAACTAATATTTTATCATAAGATAAATATATAGAACCGTTGGTAAAAATCTTATAATCATACTGAAAACCTTCGGGAAGCAGAACGTGATTACCCTTGCACGAATCATAAATAGCCAGTTGAAACAATTCGTTCAGATTCTTTTCACTTTGCGTCGAATCGTTTATGTATACTTTCGGAAAATGTATTCAATTTCTTCATGAGTGCAGTTGCTTACAACCAGACGATCGCCAAGAGAACAGCAGAAGCGAATGCAAGTATCATTATGACACATTTCGTTTGGGACGATGATAGTTTCATTAGCATCTTTGCTGGAATTTTTGAGAACTTCAAGTGACATGGAATCATTCTTTTTAATTACATTTTCATAAACTTCCTGCAGCGTAAAATTCCTTTTATGATTGACATTTGTCGAATTCGTGTTAAATTTCATCGATTTTTGCTCATCATCATTATTGTCATTTTGTGTATTATTCATAATCTTTTTATGCAAATCATGTCGCAGTGTTATTATTTCGTCGTTATAATTTGTTGTAGAATCCGTATTTATCTCGTATTGTATCGTCAAATTATCATTCTCGTTGGTGAAATTTTGCTGCGATTTCGATGACGAAATGACGAGAAGAAGCACGGAACACAGAAATGCAAATATCTTTCCACTCATTATTTCCTGTAATAATAAACATTCGAATAATTAGATAATCAAATTTAGTGTTCATCATTTCTCATATAAGTTTTAAATATCAATAATTAAAAAATGTCACATTAAATTTTTGCACACCTTTCTTTTTGTATTAATTGCAATAAAATGTGTCAAGTGCAAAATATAATAAAATAAAATTATCTTATTTTGTTTCTCAGCAAAATCTCGAAATGTCGATTTGATTTTAGCACCATTACTATTAATATTGGTGATTGCACGTCTTGAATTTTAATTATCTCATTAGATAAAGTCAGTACTATATCACTGTATTCGGCTTTTTCTCGTTAGAAGAATGCAAAAGATACATGTTTCTGCGCGGGAGAGAAGCTGAGACTACCGAGCACGACGATTTGTCGATAGCTTTGCAAGAAACTGTCCGTCTATTATACCACTGACGAGGTTTTGTTACGTCAGTGCTGGTATCATGGTAAAGGTACGTTTCAGGTAACACTATTAATGCTACGCATTTTAAAATTGTTTGAAACAGTATGTAATTTTATGTTATTTTCTTAGAAAAACAGTGCCGTATCTATTGTATTTTTACGGGATCAAATCTGTCTATAATATTAATAGCGTTTGCTTATCCATCTCTGCTGCACTGAACTTTTAACGCTACGGACAGGGTACAGATTTTCGTCTTACAGATTCAGAAAGCAAGCGATATAATAACAACAAGGAATGGTGAGAATTTTGACATTTTTGTAACACTTAGTGAACATTTTTTATTTTCTTAATGAGATTTATGCAGAATTATTTATTTCAATGTCTTTGTCGACAATATTTCATACTCGCTTGATTTGCATTTCAGATGAAGAAAGCATTTTCATTGTCCTTATTGTTTTCTTTTTTGTTTTTTTTGTTTTTATTATATATAATTACTAGCTTTTCGGACCGCGCGAAGCGCGGTCCTCAAAGCCAGCCTTTCTATTCGGACCGCGCTTTGCGCGGTCCTCATATAGTCTATATTAAATCCGTTTTAACACAAAAAATTAATTCTTTTTTTGTATTACCGCGAACTACTTCCACATTTGTTGTTCGACTTTCACGAAATTTATACCAAAATAAATGTTTAAATTTTTTTGTGGATGACTACTATGTTATCTATTTCTTTCTCCCAGATATTTTATTTTCTTTTTTTAAGACACGCTTTCTCTCTCTCTCACTCTAAAACACACGCGCTCCCTCTCTCTCTCTTTAAGACACATGCTCTCTCTCTCCTTATCTCTCTCCCTCCCTCTTTCTTTAAGACACACGCTCTCTCTCTCTCTCTCTCTCTCTCTCTCTCTCTCTCTCTCTCTCTCTCTCTGTGTATGTGTGTGGGGTTTTTTAAGTTTACGCTTTCACCTACGCATCCACCCACACAATCGCATATTTATGAACGGATTTTTTAAAAAATTGGTACCAAAATGTTGCAAATTTTTGGCGACGATGTGGTTTTTTCAAGTGTTACACCTCCACCCACACGCATGCGCATTTATGGACCAATTTTCACGAAATTAGTACCAAAATGTTGCAAATTTTTCTGAGAAAGCTGCTGTGTGGTTTTTTTAAGTTTTATCCCACCCACGCATGCATCCACGCATTCACACATTTATTCACATACTTTTTTGAAATTTGTAGTTAAATTTTGTTGGAGATGGCTACTATGATTTTAACAAATTTTTATCATCCTATTCATCCACCCACGCACCCATGCACCCATTTGCATACGCATTTATTGACTTGGTCACACCAAGAAGTAATTTTTAAAAAATTTGTGTACGTATTTGTGATTATGTGTGCAATTCGTGTAAATAAACCTTTAATTTGTATGCAATTTTCACGAAATTAGTACCAAAATGTTGCAAATTTTTGCAATCACAAACATGTACACAAATTTATTTAAAATTACTTATTGGTGTGACCAAGTCAATAAATGCGTATGCACATGGGTGCATGGGTGCGTGGGTGGATGAATAGGATGATAAAAATTTGTTAAAATCATAGTAGCCATCCTCAACAAAATTTGAGTACAAATTTCGAAAAAGTCTGTGAATAAATGTGTGAATGCGTGGGTGAATGCGTGGGTGGGATAAAACTTTAAAAAACCACACAGCAGCTTTCTCAAAAAAATTTGCAACATTTTTGTACCAATTTCGTAAAAATATTGGTCCATAAATGCGCACGCGCGTGGATGAATGCGTGGGTGGAGGTGTAACAATTGAAAAAACCACATCGTCGCCATCTTCAAAAAATTTGCAACATTTTGGTACCAATTTTAAAAAAATCGGTTTATAAATATACGATTGCGTGGGTGGGTGCGTGGGTGGAGGCGTAAACTTAAAAAAATAAAACACCAGCTTTGTCAGAAAAATTTGCAACATTTTGGTACTAATTTCGTGAAAATTGGTCATAAATGCGCATGCGCGTGGGTTGGTGCGTGGGTTGAGGTGTAACACTTGAAAAAACCGCATCGTCGCCATCTCCAAAAAATTTGCAACATTTTTGTACCAATTTCGTAAAAATATTGGTCCATAAATGCGCACGCGCGTGGATGATTGCGTGGGTGGAGGCGTAAACTTAAAAAAATAAAACACCAGTTTCCTCAGAAAAATTTGCAACATTTTGGTACTAATTTCGTGAAAATTGGTCCATAAATGCGCATGCGTGTGGGTGGATGCGTGGGTGGATGCGTGGGTGGAGGTGTTACACTTAAAAAAACCGCATCGTCGCTATCTCCAAAAATTTTGCAACATTTTGATACCATGTGTTCAGAAATATTGCAAAAAAAAATTTTTTTCGCAAAAACATACCCTCCTCTGAAGAAAAAAAATAAAAATAAAAAAATTAAAAAAAAAACCACAGCAGCCACCCCCGAAAAATTTGCAACATTTTGGTACCAATTTCGAGACAATCGGTCCACAAATGCGGAAGTAGTTCGGGCACAGACAGACAGACAGACAGACGGACGGTGCTTATATATATAGATTAAATTAATCCCTCTCTCTTTCTCTCTCTCTCTCTCTCTCTCTCTCTCTCTCTCTCTCTCTCTCTCTCTCTCCCTCTCCCTCCTCAATATTATATATAATAATATAATATTATAAATAAATATTATGTAATATAATCATTTTTTGCAGTAAAACAGAAAGCTCGATGGGCAAGAGCCGGAAGAGGTACCAATTTAAAAAAAATCGGTTCATAAATATACGATTGCGTGGGTGGGTGCGTGGGTGGAGGGGTAAACTTAAAAAAATAAACCAGTAGTTTTCTCAAAAAAATTTGCAACATTTTGGTACTAATTTCGTGAAAATTGGTCCATAAATGCGCATGCGCGTGGGTGGATGCGTGGGTGGAGGGGTAAACTTAAAAAAATAAACCAGTAGTTTCTCAAAAAAATTTGCAACATTTTGGTACTAATTTCGTGAAAATTGGTCCATAAATGCGCATGCGCGTGGGTGGATGCGTGGGTGGGTGCGTGGGTGGGGGTGTAACACTTAAAAAAACCGCATCGTCGTTATCTCCAAAAAAATTTGCAACATTTTGATACCATGTGTTCAGAAATATTGCAAAAAAAGATTAAACATACCCTCCTCTGTAGAAAAAAAAAAAAATTAAAAAATTAAAAAAAAAACCCCACAGCAGCCACCCCCAAAAAATTTGCAACATTTTGGTACCAGTTTCACGAATATCGGTCCACAAATGTGGAAGTAGTTCGCGTACATACATACAGACAGACGGTGCTTATATATATAGATAGATATGATTTACAAGAAAAAAAAACATTTATTGCTTTAACTTGAATCGTATCTTTTCAACATAGTCTGTAATTTTCGAAATGTCGCAATAAATTAGTGAGAATAAAGTTAACAAATACGCATTTATTTTATAAAAAAATTACATTTTTAAGAAGTTATTCAAACTATTGTTTCTCTTTTTTTTTTGAAGATTGTAATTTATTTTATTTTTCAATTCTATAATTTGATATATAAAAATTTATTATTTTTTATTGAAAGATGACTTAATATTAATATTTGTGTGCAGGTTCAAACTATATATAACTATATAAAAAAAGTTATATCACAAATCAGGCACCAACGAGCAATCAGCAATTTAATATAATTTTATTAAAATTGAAATAATTAATTTTACAGTTTTATATTTTGATGTAAACGTTTCTTTAAAGGATTTAGTTTAAAATCTTATATAGAAAATTTATATTACTTTACACATTATTGAATCAAATCAATGATTGCAATACTGTGAAAAATACGTAGAAGTGCAAACTGGATTTGCGTAAAATTACATAGTTTCCATCTTGATAAACATATTATGTTGTATAAATCGCAGTTAAAGAATGCATAAAATATTTTTCCTGATGTCCATACTTGAATAATTATTTTCTGAGATAGATTCTTCGATTACATCATACATTTACACCAATATAAATATATAATGTAAGTAAAAATCTCTTCATTATTTATTCATTGACTTCATCGTTGTTTTTAAATACTTTAATATTTTTGAAAATATATGTAATGATTTTTTTGATTAAAGAATAATGTTTTAAGCGATTAAACGTGTTGGATAACATCGATTAATTCATCTATCATGAGCAGAAGTTTATTAATATTTTTTCTTACATTTTGTATACATGATTTCGCGATAAATAAATTGCCTTCCAACATTATCAACAATTTGTTATTCACGATACATTCTTGTTTGAATGATCGTATTTGTGCTTCTCATGTAATTTTCTCATATGCATGTTAAAAATAAACTAATAAAATATGCATAGTATATTTAACGCAATTACTACCTTTATTTCAATCGAATAATCAAAAATTGCTCTGAAAAATAATTGCTTCTTTGCATATGTCGAATTCAGATTGACAAATGTATTTTAAAAGATAGATTAAAATTATTTAAATTAAGAATTATAATAATATACATAATAAAATTCGGCTAATTAAAATTATTATTGCATAGCGTTTCGAAATCGTTCTATTTTGTCAATGCATATGAAGCATTTTAATTTTTCGGAACGATTGCTTCCGGGCTTTGCGTAAGAATTAATAACTTCTTTTGTGTACAAAATTTTTGTTTGTCAAATTTCTATTATGTATGCACATAATTTTAATACCCGTATTTTTATTTCTTTTTTATCTTTTTATTTCTTTAATTAAATAAAATTAAAATAATCATCATATAATATGTATACAGGGTGTCCCATAATTCGCGAATCACCTTTCATGGGCAGATAGAGCGTGTTAAACTGAATAGAAAAGTCCTGTATCATTTTGCGATATTTGCAATAATTATTGAGTTATTAACTAAAATATCTAATCGAATGAACAGGTAGAAAGCGGTAGACCGGACTCGGTGTGCATGTCGGATAACTTATTTGTTATATGCCGCTTAGTATCAAAAGTATCATCTTACTTTTCGGCGCCACTATACTGGTCGCCGCTCGCTGCATGACGCCGTCTCTCGATCAAATAATGCTTTCTACCTGCTTATTCGTTTAGATATTTTAATTAATGACTCAATAGTTATTGCAAATATCGCAAAATGATACATGAATTTTTTATTCAGTTTAACACGCTCTATCTGCCCATGAAAGGTGATTCGCGAATTATGGGACACCCTGTATAGTTATTAGTAGATTTCGGATTATATGCAAATTGCATATTTGTTATTTTTGCATATTCTATAAGAAGATTAATAATGTGAATAAATTATAATTTTTTTAATTAATAAACATTAATTAGTTGAAACTATTACAATTTTTTCACATTATCAATGCTGTCATAAAATGTGCAAAAAGTAACAATTATGCAATTTGCATATAATTCGAAGTCTAGTTCTTAGTATATAATTTGATAACAGTATACAGACAGTGTGTGTGTGTGTGTGTGTATGAGTAGGTGTGTTTGTGACTGTTTGTGTGTATGTGTTCCCTAGAATTAAAATTATTATTGCACAGCGTTTCGTAATAGTTTCATTTTGTCAATCGTATGAAGCACTTTAATAATTAATAATTAGGAACAACTGCTTCCGGGTTTTGCGCAAGAATTAATAACTTCTATTGTGTATAAAATTTCTCTCGTCAAATTTTTATTATGCACATAATTTTACAAGGATAGAGAATGTATCGCTGCAAAGAGCCAAATATAATACTTAGAAATTCGCTAAGAGAAGAGAGGAATAATCTCTAAATTGAGATTTAAATTCCACTTACCTTTTTACCCTCCTAAAACTGATGTAGACGAGAAAAATATATCGATCCGAAAAAGTCGGCTGAATCGGGAAACGAACTCGAGACCTTTCGCTAATTGGGCGACTGCTCTTTTCTCTTGCAGCGGTACATTCTCTATCTTCTTTATTTACGATAAGAGCGTTCTAGCCATATTATTTGTCACATAATTTTAATTTGCGAGTTTTTAGTTTTTAAAAAAATGTTTTAGTTTAATTAAGTAAAATTGAATAAAATTATTATATAAAAGCAAACAATGGCGTCCGCGCAGTGCTCCATTGTCTATATTTATGTAATAATTAAATTTGATTGTATTTTAATTAATGAAATAAAAAAGTGTTGTCAAGCATACGTAAATGTGTATAATTTTATAATAGTAGATAGACAGCATGTGTGCGTGATTTCTCTCAAAACTATGGAAGACTCGTCGCTCTCGATAGTTTCATTTTCTCTCTTGTAGAAACACGTTTCCTTGTGCATTCTGCTCTTCTTTTAGAAATACAAGATAATATCGGATTTATTGATATATAGTATATGTTATAACAAATTTAGCGAGATAATTAAAAATCAATCGTGCAATCGTCTACATTAATAGCAGAATAATCAGATCAATGTTTCGAGATTTTGTTAAGAAACACAAAAGCAAAAAGATATTTTGATTTTATTACAAGTGTATATTCTGCATTTAACACCTGAATTTCATAAATTTAATATAAAATTTAAAGCAAAAATTTAATACAAAATTATTTAATTTTTGACAATTAAAAATCCATATGTGAGAATTGATAAATACTGAAGAATTTGACTGATTTAATTATTTAATTATTACAAAGTATATATTAATATAAAATAATGTGTCATAAAAAATTTGCGTTTTTGTATTGTGGACTTTTCCTTTTCATCACGTTATCGAAATCTCAGCAAAATTGCACCAACAATGAAGAGGAAGGTCATAATTTGACAGTACGATACGAAATAGATATGAATTCTACAACATTTTCTAAGATCAAGATATAAATACTGCAATATGATTTGCATACAAAATTAACCAGCAAAACGCGATATGTCAATGAATGTAACATAATCTCATTTAAATTTGAAAAAGAAACGAGATGATATAATATGTTTTTGCTACGAAATCCAAAAATATGGATGAATTATAATTATTAATCTTAAACATAAAGATCAGCATAAATAAACATGACTTTAATTTTCAAATAAAATTGAAGATCGGTCATATTAGTGTAACTTCATGTTCGTCCGGAGGAAATCATCTTCACTTGTATGACTATTTCTTTTTACGTAGTAATAATGCTCGACAATGTTGCATTAGATCCGTGTCAAGCTTTTGGCAACAAACCGCAGCCGAATAGCTTGAACAACATGCGCTTGATCTTTTCTTCCACACAAATATGATAAACGTGCACAAATTCTGCATAACGTCCAGCAAATTATAAACATACAAGTTGTAAATTGATACTTTTTTAAGTATTTCGTAGTCATCTTGCATTGTTATTATGAACCATTTTATGTCTAATAAAATAAATAGCACGATAAATAGCTTCAGATATAGATTAAACCTGGAAACAAATACATAATTTTATAGTTCTTGTAAATATATATGACGAATAAAATTTAATTGATGTAGAAACGTTAAAAATTTTTGAAAGCGTTTAAAATTTTTATTTTTATGAAATACAGATGCAGTCATTATATAGATTTTCGTAAGTTATTATTATCATTTTATTTAGAATTGCATATCAATGTTTTCTTTTCTTATAGATTATATAATTATACATAACAGAAAAAAAACAATAAGCACAGTGAAAATGCCTGTTTGCTTTCTTCATTTGGAATGCAAATCAAGCAAGTATGAGATATTGTCGGCAGAGAGATTGACATAAATATGTCTGCATAAATCTCATTAAAATAATAAAAGATTTTCACTAACAATAAGTGTTACAAAAATGTCAGAATACTCACCATTCTTTATTGTCATTATATCGCTTGCTTTCCAAATCTGATAGACGAAGGTTTGTATCCTTTTCGTTGTGTTTGATGTTCAGTGCCGCAGAGATAAATAAGCAAATGATAATAATTAGACAGACAGTTCTGATTCCGTGAAAATACAACAGATACGGCACTGTATTTGTAAGAATGATATAACATTAAATTACATACTGTTTCAGACATATTTACATTGCGTAGCATTAATAAAGTTACCTGAAACGTACTTTTATCATAATACCAGTTCAGACGTAACAGTACCTCGTCAGTGGTATAGTATACGGACAGTTTCTTGCAAAGCTATCGATGACTCGTTGTTCTCGGTAGTCTCAGCTTCTCTCCCGCGCAGAAACATGTATCTTGTGCGTTCTTCTAACGAGAAAAAGCCGAATACAGTGATATAGTACTGACTTTATCTAATAAAATAATTAAAATTCAAGACGTGCAATCACCAATATTAATAGTAATGGTGCTAAAATCAAATCGACATTTCGAGATTTTGCTGAGAAACAAAATAAGATAATTCAATTCTATTATATTTTGCATTTGACACATTTTATTGCAATTAATACAAAAGTAAAGGTGTGCATAAATTTAATGTGACATTTTTTAATTGTTGAAAATTTAACACTTATATGAGAAATGATAAACACTAAATTTGATCAGGTATCTAATTATTCGAATGTTTATTATTACGTGAAATAATGAGTGGAAAGTTATTTGCATTTTTGTGTTCGGTGCTTCTTCTCGTCATTTTGTCATCGAAATCGCAGCAAAATTTCACCAACGAGAATGATAATTTGACGATACAATACGAGATAAATACGGATTCTACAATAAATTATAACGACGAAATAATAACATTGCGACTTGATTTGCATAAAAATTTGATGATTAATACACAAAATGACAAAATGCAGCATGAATTTTATATGAATAATAAACGTGAGGTTAATGATTTGATTCAACATAAACGTCACAAGCATTCAATGCAGAATAAAAATGATGAGCAAAAAACGATAAAATCTAACAGAAATTCGACAAATGTCAATCATAAAAAGAATTTTACGCCGCAAGAAGTTTACGAAAATGTAATTGAAAAGAATGATTCCATGTCACTTGAAGTCTTCAAAAATTTCAGCAAAGATGCTAACAAAACTAACATTGTCCCAAACGAAATGTGTCATAATGATACTTGCATTCGCCTCTGCTGTTCTTTTGGCGAGCGTCTGGTTCATGGCAACTGCATTCCTGAAAGAGTTAAATACATTTTTCCAAACGTATACATGAACGATTCGACGCAGAGCGAAAAGAGAGTGAACGTATTTTTTGAGCTAGCCATTAATGATTCGTGCCGGGAAGATTACTATCTGCTTCCTAAAGGTTTTCAGTACGATTATAAGATTTTTACCAACGGTTCTATATATTTACCTTATTATAAAATATTTGTTGAATCGACATCATATTGTCTCGCCGTCGTCGACGGGAATGAGTTCGAAGTAATCATCTGTTTCAAAACTTATGACAAGCTTAAGGAGATATTTAATAAAAGCGAATGGCTCTTCTGACAACGATTTATCAAAATATTACGCAAATAAGTGTCTATATAATATCTATATTATTTTTGGGGTTAGTATTTCTGGTGTATTCTATTATGCCAGAACTCCGAAATAAACACGGCTTCATGTTGCGCAATTATAGCGGTGCCGTGTCTGTTGTATACGGAATTGACCTTGTGTATTTTTTTATCAAATCGGATATACAGTATCCCGTCTGCGTTACAATAGGTAGAGTATATATCTAAATCATAAAACTATGTAATAAGTATAGGGTATATATATTTGTCAGATATTTAATGTATATATATTAAATATTGCATAGGTATTAAATTTGCATATTAAATTTGCACATTAAATATTAATTAATAATTTTAAATATTACTTGAATATATTATTTGTTAAAATCTTACAAATGCAAAACAGCGAATAATATTTAAATTTTATTTAAAAACATTTTAATATATATATAATATAAGTTATTCGTCTCAAATAGATATATTTCTTTGTGTTTTTGCAGAATTATATATAGAATCAAACATGTTTAATTTGATATTAGCAGTATTTATTACGTAAATATTACTATATAATTTAGTGTAGGAAGTTAAAGTAAATCTATTTTAATGGAGAAACATAAAGGTGATAACTTTGAAATTTTAAAATTTCAACGAGTAATGACAAATAATATATTATTATTTATTAATAAAATTAGAAATAAATAAGGAGCAGAAAATAGATCAAAAGAGCAACGCGAAGTAATTAGATCGCAAATACAAAGTTCTTTTATTTAATAGAAAAATTTGTTTATTAAATAAAATTGTATTTGCAACCTAATTATACATTGCGTTGCTCTTTTGCCGTATTACCTGCTCCTTATTTATTTCTCAACTATACGAGCAAATTACATATTACATTTATATTTATATTAATAATATTATATATTATTATATATTATTATTTATTATTTATTATCTATTATTACAGTCTTTAATTTTATTAATTTTTACAGCTTTTTTAAAATACTTTTGCTATATGGCGAGTTACTTTTGGTTAAGTATAATGAGCTTTGATATGTGGTTCACATTCAGGTAAGTTGGAAAATATTCTATATTATTACTACTTATTTTTAACACTTGCCTTTCATTTATTTTTATAAAATTCTTTCTTTTTGATTTTACATATATCGGTTTAAAGATAAAGATAGATAATATATAATATGAAAATTCTGTATTAATCGAATTTTCTTATATATTGTGTTGGTACATGCAAAAACAACTATATATAATATTTAAAAATAATATTTATTAATTAAACAATTATACTTAGGACATTATAAGTTAGAGTATAAAGATAATAAGTTCAAATTATAATTTGAAATAAATAGTTTTCTTGGATATTTTTATTGATTGATTACAGATTTTCAAACGGTAAATTTTTGAAAGTAAAATGGCGTACTAGATATAATAAGCATATTATATATTTAATTTAAATATGTATAAAATATTATAACGAAATCCAATAATTCGGTATAAAGCAATAATATTTTGATTTGACGTTTTACTCTTTTCATTTATAAAATACAACAATACACGATAACTTTTTACAAAATAAAAATAGATTTTTTATGAAAAACTTGTTTCTTAAAAGTAAATAAAAATTTAAAGTACCAGTGTCGTATCTGCATAATAATTATGTAAATATACACTTTTTAAAATAATTATGGCATGAAAAAAAACAATGGTCCAAAAATAGGCAAGTTTTAAATAGTTTAATTTTGTTTCGAATAATAAGAATTTAAATTTTAAAAAAGAGTTTTAAAGCTTCAAATTTCTGCTTTCAATGGTTTACAATTTTTTTTATTTTCTTCAATTTTGATATTTTATATATACAAAAAATAAATAACATAAATAGAAAATTTTTTTTCACATGTAGACGTGTCTCACAAAAAAATGTGAAAAATTTTTTGACATTTCTATGTTACAGCCTGAAGTTTCCACTGCAAAATTGTTTTTAAAATGTAAATGTCGATCTTTCTTTATCAAGTTATCGCAAATTGAAGAGAAAATGTCATTTTCAATTTAATCGTTCATAACACCGTTAAAAATCATCGTACAGCAATTTTAAGAATGGATTCTTCAAGCTGAATCTTTGCTTTACAGTATGATATAGTGACTTGATGTAAAACACATTATTTTAACGTATTTACATTCTGATTTATTTTATTTATTGTTTGTTAAATATGTTGTGTAAATTGCAGAGGATTCAGTTCGTTACTAAGAAACGTCAGACAACGAAAAAAAAAAAAGCTGATATATTATACGATCTTTGCGTGGGGATGTCCCTTTATGTTTGCTATTTTATGTGTCATCATGGATATTCTTTCGGCGTATGTAAATGTACCACCGATTTTGCAACCGGAATTTCATTTAGGAGATTGCTGGTTTTTAGTAAGTGAAGATAATGCTATAGGATTCTAGTATTGTGAGAAAGAGTATAAAAACTTATGATGTTTTATACTTACAGAGATTGGTCCGCATTTGTTGTATTATTATGTGCTCAGTAGTATGTGCGTCATCAATAGCATTTGTTTATCTATTTGTACAGCATTAAAAATTGCGCGTTTCCAAAAGGAATTGAATTCTTTTCTAAAAATTCGGAGAGTAAATGCTTTAACGATTATAAAAAATGGTATGTATCAGATATCGTTGTATTGAGAAATGATAATCTATTTTATTAATAAAATTAATATAGTCTGATCGTGTATTTAATTTTAAGTTTGAGTTTCATTGGTTGAATGGAATTTTAAGTCAAGATCAGATTTAAAACGACATTAAATATAAATTCAGATTATGAATTCTGGTCATAGATTGTCATTTGCAGATGATATTTTTTTTATTCGCCGATTTACTTTTTTATTTTGTAATAATTTCGAGAATATATTATTTTACGTGTTCTTTCGAAATTCTATACAATTCTAAATAACATGACAATTAATAACAAAAATTAAATTAAAGAATGCACCATTATTTTACAAAAATACAAATTTTAAACACTTTCAAAAATTTCTTAATGTTTATACATCAATTCAATTTTATTCGTCATATATATTCACAAGAACTATGAAAATTATATATTTGTTTGCAGGCTCAATCTATATCTGCAGCTATTTATCGTACTGTTTATCGCAATGGGTATAAAATGGCTAATAATAACAGCGTCATTATTATATAAAAATTTATCAATTTACAACATTATATGGTATGTTGTTAATTTGATGGACATTATGCAGAGTCTGTGCATCTTTGTCATATTTGTGTGTAAAAGAAGGATCAAGCGCATGTTATTCAAGCGATTCGGCTTCGGTTTGTCACCATATGCTTGACACGGATCAAATGCAACATTTTCGAGCATTCTTACCACGTCAAAAGAAATAGTCATGCAGAAGAAGATGAATTTTTCCGGACGAGCAAGAAGTCACACTGATTTAATAGACCTTTAATTTTTATTTAAAAATTTAAATCATGTTTTTTTATGTTGTTCTTTATAGTTTAGATTAATAATTATAATTCACACATATTTTCGGATTTTGTAGCAAAAACATATTATTTTGTCTCGTTTCTTTTTCAAATTCAAATGAGATTATGTTACATTTCTTGACATAAATATTTATAATATTATTAATTGTAGGCTGATAATTTTTTTATATTTGGAATATTAGTAGAAATTCAGAAAGCTGCTACAAAATTTGCATGAAATTACTATAAGTTGTTATTATACGAATGTCAAATAAATATATGTTTATTTATTAATATTATGAATTGTAATAAAAATTTATAATATTAGTATAATATTTATAATTTAATTAAATATTTTATCATAAGATTATTGTAACATTAATACTTAAATAATTGAAATGTTAGATTTTTATGATCTCAATAATTCGGTGTAGCTTACTATTTTTTTAAATATAATTTACATTTTAGTAATTATGAGTTTCAATTATTGATTTTGAAAAATTCAATAAATTTTTTTTTTCCTCGGTAAAAATTAAATAGCATCAGCGCCATCGGATCTACAGCTATTTTTAATTCCTAATCAAATAAATGATCATGATATAACTCTCATAGTTATGCATGTCGAATATAAACCGGTTTTGAAATAGGTTTTGTTTTTATTTTATATGTGCAAATATTATACTTAATATGATAATGTATAAGATTTGGCGAATAACGATATTTATCATAATTTTCTCCTTTAATAATTTTTTTGTTGTCTAAAGACAACAAATAAGATGAATAAATTTGTGAAATAAATAACATTTTTTTAACGCATGCGTTATCGATTAATTATTCGAAACAAATTTTTATATACAAATATTTAAATGTATAAAATAATTACAATTTAAAATATATTTAAAAAATAATTAATAACTACAAAATTTTATTATTTGAATTTTGCTGCATCAATTTATTTTTATTTGCGGTATTCTTAGAAATATGAAGACTCTTCATTTAAGCCTTAAATATCTAAAAACAGTCAAGTGTATTTTTCTTTTGCTGCTGGATTGGTGGAGCTATCGACCAGCCTTTTTCTTGTATATAGTATGTAAAAGCTATATGTGTATAGTCCTATATAGTATAGTAGACGGACAGTTTCTCACGAAGCTATCGACGACTCGTCGTCCTCGGTAGTCTCTGCTTTTCTTCCGCGCAGGCACATGTATCTTGTGCATTCTTCTCTCAGAAAAAAGCCGGATACAGTGATATAATAAATACTGTTTTATCCAGTGAGATAATTAAAATTCAAGACGTGCAATCATCAATATTAATAGTCATATAATGCTAAAATCAAATCGACATTTCGAGATTTTGCTGAGAAACAAAATGAGATAGTTTAATTAATACAAAAGCAAAAGTGTACGTAAATTTAATGTGACATTTTTAATTATTGAAAATTTAAAACTTATATGAGAAATTATGTACACTAAATTTGATTATAACACATAAAATTTGCGTTAGACATTCCTTTCTTTTGATTGCCTATATTATTAATAATATTAGCAGCAGATGTCAAAGCAATATTTTTGACAGTATAGTATATGTACGAAATGTTCCCAGTAAAAACAGTGTAGTTATTATACGCATATTTCTAATTATTATTGTTCCTCTATAATTTATAACTATTTATTAAATTATTTTTTACAAAATGGAATGAATTACAACCCTAAAAGAGAAGAGAAGAAAAAAATAGTTGTTTTTAGAAATTTTTGAAAAATAAAATTTTCTTTATGAAATTAAATGTATTATTTAACTTTATTCTCTCATTATTTTCCACATTTCGAGAATTGCAGACCTTCTCGAAAACAAAAACAGAATTGAAGTTACAACGATATATTTTTTCTTCTGTAGATTATGTACGTTAAAAGAAAAAAAATAGAAACCGAGAAAATACTAAGCACCGAAAAGATGTTTGCTTTAAAATAATTATCGCTTCCTTTCATTAGAATTGCAGATCAATCCTAATGTATTATTGTTGGCAGAAATATTGGCAAAATAACATATTAGATTAATTCATTAACAAACTACATAGAAGACTATCACACATCGATGCAAAAATTATACAGACCATTTTTTATTATCATTATACCGTTTGCTTTTCGAATCTGTCAGACAAACACCTGTATCCTTCTTGTAACGTTTAATTTTCAGTGCTGTAGAGATGGATAAGCAAACGCTACTAATAATGCAGACACTTTTGAGCCCGTAATAATACAAAATAAACGCATATCTCCGTGTAAATATAAAATGTCATGTATTTTTATACTGTTTCTCATACAGCACAAAATATTTTTAAAATCTTTTAATAATATTTCTTAAAAGATACAATAATTCACGAAAATATTTTTAAAATGTTTTTATGTCCGCTTTTTCATGTTTAAAATATATTTTTGAATATAAATTTAAACTAATATTTCAAAAATATGTATGAAATATTTAAGAAAATATTATCTGAGCAATAAAGAAGAACATTTTTAATAAAATTGTTAAACAATTTTAAAAATATAATAAAAAATGTTACAACAAAAAATTTTTTAAATTATTTTAAAATATTTCTAAAACCATTTTAAAATGTTTTTATGCAATATTTTATGAAAATATTTACAAATATTTTTTGAAAACACATAATATGCTGTGTTGTGTGGGTTCTCACAATACATTAAAACGCTATAGCATTGATACAGTTATCTTCACTTACCATGGAACCAGCAATCTCCTAAATGAAATTCCGGTCGCAAAATCGATAGTACATTTACGTACACGGAAAGAATATCCATGCTGACACAGAAAATAGCAAGCATAAACGGACATCCCCACGCAAAGATTGTATAATAAATCAACTTTCTTTTTTCTCGTTGTTTGACGTTTTTTTTGTAACGAACAGAATCCTCTGCAATTTACACAACATATTCAACAAACATTAAATAGAAGAAATCAGAATGTAAAAGCGTTAAAATAATGTCGAGTGACTCTATCACCCTATAGAGCAATATACCAACACAATATATAAAAAAATTTGATTAATACAGAATTTTGCATATTATTATTTATCTTTATCTTTAAACCGATATATGTAAAATCAAAAATAAAGCAACTTTATACAGGTAAATGAAAGGCAAGTTTAAAATAAGTAGTATAATATGGAATATTTTCCACTTACCTGAATGTGCACCACATATCAAAGCTTATCATAATTAGCCAAAAAAACCCGCCAATAAACAAAAGTAGTTTAAGAAAGCTGCAAAAATGAATAAAAATACAGACTGTATTAATAAATAATAATATATTATTTATATAAATATAAATGTAATATGTAATTTGCACTTTTAGTTGAAATATATAAAAAGCAAAAATAAGTAATTTAGATATATATTCTACTTATTGTAACGCAAACAGAATACGGTATATTCACAATGTCAATGCTGTATGCAACAGTCAGGGCACCGCTGTAATTGCGCAACATAAAGCCGTGTACATTTCAGAGTTCTGGCAATATGGAATACACCAGAAATACTGATCTCAAAAGTAATATAGATACTATATAATAACTCAGATATATAATTTGTATGTGATAAATCATGAGCTCATTATCAGTTATCTTCTTGATCTTGTCATAAGTTTTGGAACAGATGGTTACTTCGAACTCATTCCCGTCGACGACGGCGAGACAATATGATGTTGATTCAACACGTATTTCATAATAAAGTAAATATATAGAACCGTTGGTAAAAATCTTATAATCGTACTGAAAACCTTCGGGAATCAGAACGTGATTATTCTGGCACGAATCATAAATGAACAGCTGAAACGATTCGTTCACTTTCTTTTTGCTCTGCGTTGAATCGTTTGTGTATACTTTTGAAAAAATGTATTCAATTTCTTCAGGAATGCAGTTCTCATCAACCAGACTATCGCCAAGAGGACAGCAGAGTCAAATGCAAGTATCATTATGACACATATCGTTTGGGACGATGTCAGTTTTATTAGAATCTTTGCTGGAATTTTCGAAAACTTCAAGTGACATAGAATCATTCTTTTCAATTACAGTTTCATAAACTTCCTGTGGCGTGCAATTCCTTTTATAATTGATATATGTCGAATTCGTGTTAGATTTTATCGATTTTTCCTCATCATCGTTATTCTGCATTGAATGCTTGTTCAGTTTAAGTTAAATCAAATCATTATTCTCGCGTTTAGCATTCATATGAAATTGATGCTGCATTTTGTCATTTTGTGTATTACTCATCAAATTTTTATGCAAATCATGTCACAGTGTTATTATTGCGTCGTTATAATTTGTTGTAGAATCCGTATTTATCTCGTATCGTATCGTTAAATTATCATTCTTGTTGGTGGAAATTTGCTGCGATTTCGATAACGAAATGACGAGGAGAAGCACGGAACACACAAATGCATATATCTTTTCACTCATTATTTCACGTAATAATAAACATTTGAATAATTAGATAATCAAATTTAGTGTTTATTATTTCTCATATAAGTTTTAAATGCTCAATAATTAAAACATGTCACATTAAATTTATGCACACTTTTGCTTTTGTATTAATTGCAAAATGTGTCAAATGCAAAATATAATGAAATAAAATTATCTAATTTTGTTACTCAGCAAAATCTCGAAATGTCGATTTGATTTTAGCACCATTACTATTAATATTGGTGATTGCACGTCTTGAATTTTAATTATCTCATTAGATAAAGTCAGTACTATATCACTGTATTCGGCTTTTTCTCGTTAGAAGAATGCACAGGATACATGTTTCTGCGCGGGAGAGAAGCTGAGACTACCGACGATTCGTCGATAGCTTTGCAAGAAACTGTCCGTCTACTATACCACTGACGAAGTACTGTTACGTCAGTGCTGGTATCATGGTAAAAGTACGTTCCAGATAACTCTATTAATGCTACGCATTTTAAATATGTCTGAAACAATATGTAATTTTATGTTCTATAATTCTTACAAAAACAGTGCCGTATCTGTTGTATTTTCACGAGATCAGAACTGTCTGTTGCTTATCCATCTCTGCGGCACTGAACATCAAACGCAACGAAAAGAAAACAAATCTTCGTCTATCAGATTTGGAAAGCAAGCGATATAATGACAATAAGAAATGGTGAGTTCTGACATTTTTATAACACTTATTGTTAGTGAAAATCTTTTATTATCTTAATGAGATTTATGCAGACATATTTATGTCAATGTCTCTGCCGACAATATCTCATACTTGCTTGATTCGCATTCCAATTGAAGAGAGCAGGCATTTTCACTGTTCTTATTGTTTTTTTATTTTGTTATGTATAATTATATAATCTATAAGAAAAGGAAAGCATTTATTGCTTTAATGTGAATATTATCTTTTCAAAATAGTCTGTAATTTTTGAAATGTCGCAATACATAGTGAGAATAAAGTTAATAAATATGTATTTATTATATAAAGAAAATTACATTTTTAAAAAATTTATTTAAACTACTGTTTCTCTTTCCCTTTTTTTAAAGATTGTATATAATTTATTCGTTTATTTTTCAATTTTATAATTTGATATATAAAATTTATTATTTTTATTGAAAAATGATTTTATTAAAATATTAATATATATATATTTGTTTGCAGGTTTAATCTATATATGAAATTTTTTATCGCGTTATTTAATTTAATGGCCATAAATTGGATCGTGTATGCAATATCATGGATACTTAATTTTCCACAAAAAATACTCTAGTTATTTTATTTATTTTTGTTTACTGTGCAGAATTTCTGCGCTTTTATCGTATTTGTATGGAAAAAGAAGATTAAGTTGATGATATTAAAACGATTCAGAATGCGGGATGAATGAATCGTGGACTTGACTACCATGACAAAGCTGCAGTAAAGGTCGAATTCTTGCAGAGAAGAAAATTGTCACGCAAAAGTTTGTTCGATGGGATTAAATTCTAATAATGCAGTTATGTTAAAAAAAAGTTTTATCGCAAATTATGCACCAACGAACAATCAGCAATTTAATATAATTATATTAAAACAGAAATAACTTTACCGTTTCATATTTTGATGTTAACGATTCTTTAAAAGATTTAGTTTAAAATCTTATATAGAAAATCTATCTTACTTTACATATTATTGAATCAAATCAATGATTGCAATACTGTTAAAAATACGTAGAAGTGCAAACTAGATTTGCGTAAAATTACACAGTTTCCATCTTAATGAACATATTATGTTGTATAAATCGCAGTTAAAGAATGATGCATCAAATATTTTTCCTGATATCCGTACTTCAATAATTATTATCTGAGATAGATTCTTTGATTACATCATACATTTACATGAATATAAATATATAATGTAGGTAAAAATCTCTTCATTATTTACCCATTGACTTTATCGTTGTTTTTAAATACTTTAATATTTTTGAAAATATATGTAATGATTTTTTTGATTAAAGATTATTGTTTTAAGCGATTAAACGTGTTGGATAACATCAATTAATTCATCTATCATGAACAGAAGTTTATTAATATTTTTTCTTACACTTTGTATACATGATTTCGCGATAAATAAATTGCCTTCCAACATTATCAACAATTTGTTATTCACGATACATTCTTGTTTTAATGATCGTATTTGTGCTTCTCATGTAATTTTCTCATATGCATGTTGAAAATGAATTAATAAAATATGCATAGTATATTTAACGCAATTACTACCTTTATTTCAATCGAATAATCAAAATTGTTCTGAGAAATAATTGCCTCTTTGCATGTCGAATTCAGATTGACAAATGTTTTTAAAAGACAGATTAAAATTATTTAAATTAAGAATTATAATAATATACATAATAACATTCGGCGAATTAAAATTATTATTGCACAGCGTTTCGAAATCGTTCTATTTTGTCAGTGCATATGAATAAGCACTTTAATAATTCGGAACGATTGCTTCCGGGCTTTGCGCAAGAATTAATAACTTCTTTTGTGTACCAAATTTTTGTTCGTCAAATTTTTATTATGTATGCACATAATTTTAATTCCCGTATTGTTATTTTTTTTTAATTTTTTATTTCTTTAATTAAATAAAATTTAAAAAATCATTATATAATATGTATATAAAAACCACTCCTCCACGTTTAAGGTCGACCAGACTGGCGATATCGCCAGTCTGGTCGACCTTAAACGTGGAGGAGTGGTTTTTTATTAATTATTACTGGCAACCTTAAGGATTATTATTTATAATATGTATATAGTTATTACGTTTTATCTTGTAGAAACGTTTTTTTGTGCATTCTGCTCTTCTTTTAGAAATACAAGATAATATCGGATATATTGATATATAGTATATGTTATAACGAATTTAGCGAGATAATTAAAAATCAATCGTGCAATCGTCTACATTAATAGCAGAATAATCAGATCAATCTTTTGAGATTTTGTTAAGAAATACAAAAGCAAAAAGATATTTTGATTTTATTACAAGTATATATTCTGTATTTAACACCTGAATTTCATAACCTTAATATAGAATCTAAAGCAAAAATTTAATACAGAATTATTTAATTTTTGACAATTAGAAATTCATATGTGAGAACTGATAAATATTGAAGAATTTAACTGATTTAATTATTACAAAGTATATACTAATATGAAATAATGTGTCATAAAAATTTCGCGTTTTTGTATTGTGGACTTTTTTTTTCATCACGTTATCGAAATCTCAGCAAAATTGCACCAACAATGAAGAGGAAGGTCATCATTTGACAGTACGATACGAAATAGATATGAATTCTACAACATTTTCTAAGAACAAGATAAAAATACTGCAATATGATTTGCATACAAAATTAACCAGCAAAACGCGATATGGAATGTAAAATGAATTTACCAATATTTCCATGAATAACGACCGCGTTGATTCTATACTATACAGGGTGTCCGGTGACTAACGGACCAACGATTACAAATGGATTCTTTGGTCAAATTGGGAACGATTTTTCCTCAGCGAAAATGTCGAAAAAGGTCATCATTTTATACAACTTTCCAATATTTGTCTTTATAACTAAGCCTCAAATTAAAATTTTATTATAGTAAATTCTACCTGAAATTAACTGAAGAATGTAATTATGTTAGACTTTAACTCCAAAACGTTTAGTTTTCAAAAAACCCATTTTTTTCAATCGCTTACAACTCGAATATTATTGACTTCTCAACATTTTTGCTAAAGAAATATCGTCTTCAAATTGGCCAGAGAATCAGCCCTTAATCATTGGTCCGTTAGTTACCGGACACCCTGTATAAAATAAGCAAGCGTTCTGTTGACAATCATGAGGATGAAGACGAAATTCCGATAAACTCTCACATCAATTTAACAAATGTCAATCATGAAGAAAACTTTACATTACAGGAAGTTTATGAAAATCTGCTTGAAAAGAATGATTCCGTGTCGAATAAAGTTTTTCAAAATTCTACTAACAATAAGTTATAAAAATTATACTAATATTATAAATTTTTATTACAATTCATATTATTAATAAATAAACATATTTTTATTTGATATAAGTATAACAACTTATAGTAATATCATGCAACTTTTGTAGCAGTTTTCTAAAGTTTTACAAATATTGAAAATTGAAAATAATATTAGCCTACAATTAACAATATTATAAATATTTATGTCATTGAATGTAACATAATCTCATTTAAATTTGAAAAAGAAACTAAATAATATAATATGCTTTTGCTACGAAATCCAAAAATATGGATGAATTATAATTATTAATCTTAAACAATAAAGATCAGCATAAATAAACATGACTTTAATTTTGAAATAAAATTAAAGATCGATCATATCAGTGTAACTTCATGTTTGTCCGGAAGAAATCATCTTCACTTGTATGACTATTTCTTTTTACGTAGTAATAATACTCGACAATGTTGCATTAGATCCGTGTCAAGCTTTTGGCAACAAACCGTAGGCGAATCGCTTGAATAACATGCACTTGATCTATTTTCTCCACACAAAGATGATAACGGTGCATAGATTCTGCATAATGTCCAACAAATTAATAATATACCAGTTATAATTTGATACATTTCCAGAAAATTCATCCGCTGTTATCATAAGACATCGTATGCCTATTACGATAAACAGCACAATAAATATCTTCAGATATAGATTAAACCTGCAAACAAATATATAATATTAATAATTCTTGTGAATAAATAATGCATGAAATTGATTTAATATATAATAAGCTAAGTAAGGAATTTTTAAAATTTTTATTTTTGTAAAATACAGGTACATTTATTAATTTGATTTTAGTTATTAAATGTCATTTTGTTTAGAATTGAATAGGTTCTCGAAGAAACGCGTTAAGTGATATATTCTTGAAAATATTACAAAATTAAAAAAGTAAATCGGCGAATAGAAAAGACGTCGTCTACGAATAATAATCTATGGTATTTATAATCTGAATTTATATTTAATATCGTTTTAAATCTCTCATCTTGATTTAAAAATTCATTTACCCAATCAAGCTCGGACTTAAGATTAAATATAAGCTCGGACTATTAATTATTAATACCGGCCTATTTGTTTCTTTTAGAAAAAATGCGAATCAATCAATCATGCGACGCTGTTTGCATAAATGTTGATAAAATCAACATAAATCTCATTAATAAAATAGATTATCATGTCTCAATGCAACGATATCTAAGTACATACCATTTTTTATTATCGTTATAGCACTTGCTCTCCGAATTTTTCAGACGAAGACTCGTATCCTTTTTGTAACGCGCAATTTTTAATGCCGTAGATATAGAGAAACAAATGCTAAAGATAATGCATATACTTCTGAGCCCATGATAATACAACATATACGGACCAGTCTCTGTAAGTATAAAATATCATAAGTTTTTATACTGTTTCTCACAATACTAGAATGCTATAGTATTAATAAAGTTATTTCACTTACCAATGAACCAGCAATATAAATAAAATTCCGGTCGCAAAATCGGTGGTACATTTACATACTCGGAAAGAATATCCATGCTGACACAGAAAATAGCAAGCATAAAGGGACATCCCCACGCAAAGATCGTATAATATATCAACTTTCTTTTTTCTTGTTGTCTGACGTTTCTTTGTAACGAACATAATTTTCTGCAATTTACACAACATATTTAACAAACAATTGACAACAGAAATTAGAATGTAAAAACGTCAAAATCAAGTCACTATATCATACTATAGAGCAAAGATTCAACTTGAAGAATCCATTCTTAAAATTGCTGTACTATTATTTGAACGGTGTTATATGAACGATTAAAGTAAAAATGACATTTTCTCTGCAATTTGCGATAACTTGATAAGTAAAAATCGACATTTACATTTTAAAAACAATTTTGCAGAGAGAAATTCAAGCTGTAATATGGAAATGTCATGAAATTTAAAAAATTTTTTTGTGCACGCGATACGTCTACAAAGTGAGAATAAAATTTTCTATTTCTTTATGTTTCTCGTTTTTTGTATATAAAAAATATCAGAATTGAAGAAAATGCAGAAAGCTAAAAACCATTGAAAGCAGAGATTTTAAGCTTTAAAACACTTTTTTAAAATATAAATGCTCATTATTCGAAACAAAGTTACAACTATTTAAAGTTTGCCTATTTTTGGACAATTGTTTTTCTTTTTATTCCTTAAATATTTAAAGGAGTGTATATTTACATAACTATTATGCAGATACGACAATGGTATTAAAATTTTTATTGACTTTAAAAGACAAATTTTTAATTAAAAAATCTACTTTTATTTTGTGAAAACATATCGTGTATTGCTTTATTTTATAAATTAATATGAATTAAAAGAGAAAAAAGTTAAATATCAAGATATCAGAAATTTTTCAAATTTATTTGTGCATGCGACACGTCTACAAAGTAAACAAAATTTTCCATTTTGTTATGTTTCTCGTCTTTCGTATATAAAAAATATTAGAATTGAAAAGAATAAAAAAAGCTGTATAATTATTAAAAGAGATTTCAAGATTTAAATTTCTTTCTTAAAATTTAAATTCTTATTATTCGAAACAAAGTTACAACTATTTAAAATTTGCCTATCTTTGAACAATTGTTCTTTTTTGATGCTTTAATTATTATAAGGCGTATATTTACATAACTATTATACAGACACGACAATAGTACTTTAAATTTTTATTTACTTTTGAGAGACGAATTTTTGATATAAAATCTATTTTTATTTTTGTAAAAAGTTATCGTGTACTGCTTTATTTTATAAATTAAAAGAAAAAACGTCAAATCAAAATATTATTGCATTATATCAAATTATTAGATTGTGTTATAATATTTATACATATTTAAATTAAATATATAATATGCTTATTATATCTAACACGCCATTTTTACTTTTAAAAAATTAACCGTTTAAAAAATTGTAATTAATTATTAAAAATCTTGAAGAAAACTATTTATTTAAAATTATAATTTGAACCTATTATCTTTATACTCTAACTTATAATGTCCTAAGTCAATTATAATTGTTTTTTCACGTACCAACAAAATATATAAGAAAATTCGATTAATACAGTATTTTGCATGTTATATATTCTCTATCTTATCTTTAAACCGATATATGTAAAATAAAAAAAAAAATTTTTTAAAGATAATTAAAAGGTTAAAAAAAAGTAGTAATAATATAGAATATTTTCCAACTTACCTGAATGTGCACCACATATCAAAGCTCATTATACTTAACCAAAAGAAACTCGCCATAAAGCAAAAGTATCTTAAAATGGCTGTAAAAATAAATCAAATTAAAGGCTGTAATAATTACTAATAAATAACAATATACAATATTATTAATGTAAATATAAATGTAATATGTAATTTGCTCTTATAGTTGAGAAATAAATAAGGAGCAGGTAATAAGCCAAAAGAGCAACGTGAAGTATAATAAATATAATTTAATCGCAAATACAATTTTATTTAATAAAAAACTTTTTATCTTTTAATAAAGGAACTTTGTATTTGCGACTTAATTACTTTGCGTTACTCTTCTGATCTATTTCCTGCTCCTTATTTATTTCTATATTATTAATAAATAATAATATATTACATAATAAAATATATATGTATATAATAAATACTATTATCAATAAATAATAATATATTATTTATCATTACTCGTTAAAATTTCAGGATCTCAAAGTTATCATATTAATGTTTCTCCATTAGAATAGATTTCTTTCAACTATCTACACTAAATTCTATAATAATATTTACGTAATAAATACTGCTAATATCAAATTAAACATGTTCGATTCAATATGTAGTTCTGCAAAATTCAAAAACACAAAGAAATATATCTATTTGAGACGAATAACTTATATTAATAATATACTAAAATGTATTTAAATAAAATTTAAATGTCATTCACTGTTTGCATTTTTAAAATTTTTACAAATAATATATTAATAAATATTTCAAATAATTATTAAAATTATTAGTTAATATTTAATATGCAAATATACATTAAATATCTGACAAATATAAATGCGCTATATTGATTGCATACTTTTATGATTTAGATATATACTCTACCTATTGTAACGCAGACAGGATACTGTAAATCCAATTTGATAAAAATATACACAAAGTCAATTCCGTATGCAACAGTCAGGGCACCGCTATAATTGCGCAATATGAAGCCGTGTTTATTTCGGAGTTCTGGCAATATGGAATACACCAGAAAATACTGACCCAAAAGTAATATAGATACTATATCGGCACTCATTTTCAACATATCGTCAGAATTCAAAAGCTCATCATTATCAGTTATCTCCTTGATCTTGTCATAAGTTTCGGAACAGTAGATCACTTGGAATTCACTCCCGTTGACGACGGCGAGACAATATGATGACGATTCAACAAATATTTCATAATAAGGTAAATATATAGAACCGTTGGTAAAAATCTTATAATCGTACTGAAAACCTTCAGGAAGCAGATAGTAATTTTCTTGGCAAGGGAATCCCGAATCATAAAAGCCCAGGTCAAACAATTCGTTCACTCTCTCTTCGCTCTGCGTCGAATCGTTCGTGTATACCTTTGGAAAAATGATTTCTAATTCTTCAGGACTGCAGTTGTCATCAACCAGACGATAGCCAAGCCAACAGCAGAACCGAATGCAAGTATCATTATGACACATTTCGTTTGAGACGAAATTTAACACTTTACTATTATTGTTGAAGATGTAATCCAATTTGACGTCAAAAGAATAATTGAATGTCAATTCAAAATCCCCCGGCATGAAATTTCTTTTATGATTGACATATGTCGAATTCGTATTAGATTTCATCGGTTTTTGCTCATCATCTTTATTCTGCACTGAATGCTTGTAACGTTTATGTTGAATCAAATCATTATCCTCGCGTTTATTATTCATATAAAATTCATGCTGCATTTCTTCATTTTGTGTATGGTTCATCAAATTTTTATGCAAATCATGTCGCAATGTTATTATCTCGTATCGCATTGTCAAATTATCATCTCTGTTGGTAAAACTTTGCTGCGATTTCGATAACGAAATAACGAGGAAAAGCACGGAAAACACAAATGCAAACTTTTTTCCACTCATTATTTCATATGAGAATATAGTTTAGAATAATTAGATAATCAAATATAGTGTTCATATAATTTTTCATGTAAGTTTTAAATTCGCAATAATTAAAACATGTCACATTAAATTTATGCATACCTTTTTTCTATTAATTTCAATAAAATGTGTCAAGTGCAAAATATAATAAAATTAAATTATCTTATTTTGTTTCTCAGCAAAATCTCGAAATGTTGATTTGATTTTGGCACCATTACTATTATTATTGGTGATTGCACGTCTTGAATTTTAATTATCTCATTAGATAAAGTCAGTACTATATCACTGTATTCGGCTTTTTCTCGTTAGAAGAATGCACAAGATACATGTTTCTGCGCGGGAGAGAAGCTGAGACTACCAAGCACGACGAGTCGTCGATAGGTTTGCAAAAAACTGTCGGTCTACTATACTACTGACGAGGTACTGTTACGTCAGTGCTGATATCATGGTAAAGGTACGTTTCAGGTAACTCTATTAATGTTACGCATTTTAAATATGTCTGAAACAGTATGTAATTTTATGTTATATTATTCTTACAAAAACAGTGCCGTATCGGTTGTATTTTCGGGATCAGATCTGTCTGTTTAATTATTACCATTTGCTTATCCATCTCTGCGGCACTGAACATCAAACGCAACGAAAAAGATACAAACCTGCGTCTATCAGATTTGTAAAGCAAGCGATATAATGACAATAAAGAATGGTGAGTATTTTGAAATTTTTGTAACATTTATTGTTAGTGAAAATCTTTTATTATCTTAATGAGATTTATGTAGACATACAATATTTATGTCAATGTCTCTGCCGACAATATTCTATACTTGCTTGATTCGCATTCCAGATGAAGAAAGCAAGCATTTTCACTGTGCTTATTGTTTTCTTTGTTTTCTTTTTTTTTTATGTATAATTATATAATCTATAAGAAAAAAAGCATGTATTGCGTTAACTTGAATCGTGTGTCTTTTCAAAATAGTCTGTAATTTTCGAAATGTTGCAATAAATAGTGAAAATAAAGTTAACAAATAGGCATTTATTTTATAAAAGAAAATTATATTTTGAAGAATTTATTTAAACTACTGTTTTCTCGTTTCCTTTTTAAAGATTGTAATATAATTTCTTTATTTTTCAATTTTATAATTTGGTATATAAGAATTTATTATTTTTATTGAAAAATGACTAACTGTTAATATTTGTTTGTAAAAAGATTTGTTTGTAAATATTAATATTTGTTTGTAAATAGAAAATAATGATTCACGATCTTTTTGTCAAATGTATGCAATGAAAATTGTATAAGCATATTTAAATTTTAACAAATTTAAATTTGTGCACTGGAAGATGTACGAAGAATTCAGTACGTTAAGAGTCTGCCAATTGATTAAAATAAAATTAAAGAAAATTATTATATAAAAGTAGACACAATGTCGTGCGCAAGCTGTGTTTTCCAGTATATGTTATGTAACTAGTGCGTCATCTTCTATTAATTGTTATATGTATATAACAATTTTATAATACAATTGGTATTTTATTGCAAGTTGTATTTATATAGTAGGCAAAACAATTGCCTCAGTTTATGTGGGTTATTGAGTTCCGGCCGCTTTTCAAGTTTCC